CCTGTAATCCCAGCACTTTGGGAGGCCGAGGCGGGTGGATCACGAGGTCAAGAGAGCGAGACCATCCTAGTCAATACGGTGAAACCCCGTCTCTACTAAAAATACAAAAAATCAGCTGGGCGTGGTGGTGCGTGCCTGTGATCCCAGCTACTCAGGAGGCTGAGGCAGGAGAATTGCCTGAACCCAGGAGGCGGAGGTTGCGGTGAGCCGAGATCGCGCCATTGCACTCCAGCCTGGGTAACAAGAGCGAAACTCTGTCCCCCAAAAAAAAAAAAAAGTTATTAACCAATGCCTTGAAGTTTCTGTGTTCCTAGTTGCTGATAACATTACAGTAAAGAATTCATTAAGCTTCTTGTTTTAGGTTTCTGAGGATTATGAACGATTCCGTTTTGAGAACACTGCATGTTTAGGTAGTACTTCTACATTTCAAAACAATTATACATAAACCACAATGAATGTCTTGCACAAGTTTTTAAAGTTTGCAAAACCTTGGTAATTCCCCCTTCAAACCGTAAAACATGTTCAGATGTGTCACGCTGGGACTGTGCCATACCTTAACCGTAGTTTTAATCATAAGGCTGCATACCACAACCACCCAAGAAGCAGCAATAAACACCCCGTCGCGTCTTATTCTTCTAATAATGTTCCTGCTAATTTGAAAAGCAACATGTTTTGTAAAGCGAAGTCAAACTTAAATGCCAAATGAAAAGCATAATGTACTTTTTAGTTTTCAACTAGTATGACATTTTAAGATTTGCCTTTGTTTAATGAATTGTTTTTTAAAAACAGCAGAATTGAATCAGACAGGAGATAGGTATGAATCCTGGTGCCATTTAGGAGCTTTTTGAACCTGGGCAAATTATCTTATCTCTGAGACTCAGTTGCCTCATACAGAGTTTAGTGCTAACAACACTAGGTTGCATAACTGTTGAAGAAATTATGATCTATGTAAATTCAGTAAATACCTGTCATAGTAGATGTTCAATAGTTAGTTTCCATTCCCACTTAAGCAGAAAGGTGCTGTTTTTTCTTCATCTACTCTGTCTATGACCTCTTCCTTCAGATGTGGAATGAAAGGAAAAGATAGAGGGATGGTTATTAATATTCTCCCTACAGGGTTATTTGTAGCAAGTAAAAATTTTATCTGTTGCCAGAAAATCTGTGCAGCCCATGCATACCACTCCATCAGCAGCTCTGTTTGGGCCAGTTTGATTTTTCTCAGCATCTGACAGCCAGTAAGAGCAACACGTAAGTCAGGCCAAAGCCTTCCTCTCAAATTCTGTGTCTTCCCCCACCCCCAACTGCTCCCCCGACCAGTCAGCATGAATAAAATCCTACTACCATCTTTACACCATTATCCAAACTTAATTTGTATTTCAGTCATAGTTGTCAGCCTGAATAAAATATATTTGGGAGCTCAGGAGAACATGCCCATTATCTAATAAACCTGCATATTTATTCTAGAGAAGTTAAACTGGGTTGCATGAGAGGCCATACTAAAGAATACACGGTGAGGAAGGCTGGGCTCATCTTTATGGAACCCCACTCCAGTGTCAGAAGCTGTGGTGTATCAGCCAGGCATGGAGGACTCTTTTCCTCAAGTCTGCGCTCTCATCAGCTACTCCTCAACTTTCCATATGTTTTATAAATAAAAGGAGAGAAGAAAGGTATTTTTAAATGGCCTGAAGGATGGGAATTTGGAGGGGAAATTACCAGCTAGTTAAATTAATAAGCATTCTGTTATACATAGTGCTTTACGAGACCTATGTTTCATAAATGCTAGCCCTCCAAGAGCATTAACTGTGGAATGGACTTTGTAGAAACAGAGCAAGTACACACAAGAGTTTGATGCCATCAAATAGAGAATTCCATACATGTTGGTGGGTTTTTTTTGGCCCACGCTCATAATTCTTCATTATTAACTAAGTTAGTTACTTAGTAATTAAGTTAGCTCTTCTGTTGGCTAAATAGTCTTGGAGGATTTTTAATACTAGCTAAGACTAAGTAGTTCTTACTGTGTGTCAGGCAGTTTTTAAAGTGCTCAGATTTCATAACCTATTTAGTACTCAAACCAAACCATGGAATAGGTAGGTGTATTGTTTTCACCCTTAGCAGGTGGGGAACCTGAGACACAGAGTGGTTAAGTTGCGTGGCAAAGCCACACAGCCATTAAGCGAAGGAATAGGGTAGCCTGGGCCTGGAGTCTGCACCGTCATCACAGCTTTCTGATACTAAAATAGGATATTTCCTTATATTTGGTATGATGGTCATAAGTGTTTAGAACTTCTGTCTTCTATAACTTAGAAACAGTGGTCATGGAAACAGACAGCAAATAACCATTTTACCTAACTGGGGAGGCTAATACTGCTTTTATTCCACAGAAGAACAGTAAGTACAGGCATACCTCAGAGACATTACAAGTTCAGTTCCAGACCACCACCATAAAATGAATATAAGATAAAGCAAGTGACATGAATTTTTTGGCTTCCCAGGATGTATAAAAGTTATACTTCTACTATACTATAGTCTATTAAGTGTACAATGGTATTACTTCTTAAAAAACAATGATTACATTTTAATTTTAAAATACCTTAATACTAAAAAGTGCTAACAAGCCTCTGAGCCTCATGAACAAGTTCTAATCTCTTTGCTGGTGGAGGGTCTTGCCTCAGTGTTGATGGCTGCTGACTGATCAAGGTGGGAGTTGCTATAGGTTGGCATGGCTATAACGATTTCTTAAAATAACAGTGAAGTTTGCTACAGTGATGGACTCTTACTTTCATGAAAGATTTCTCTGTACCATGCAATGCTGTCTGACAGCATTGTACCCACAGCAGAGCTTTCAAAATTGGAATCAGTTCTCTCAAACCCTGTTGCTGTCTTATCAACTAAGTTTATGGAATATTGTAAATCCTTTGTTGTCATTTCAACAGTTTTCACAGCATCTTTACCAGGAGTTGATTCCATCTCAAGAAACCATTTTCTTTGTTCATTCACAAAAAGCAACTCCTCATTTGTTCAGGTCTGATCGTGAGATTGCAGCAATTCAGTCACATCTCAGTCTTCACATCTAATTCCAGTTACTTCCACTCCATCTAGAGTTACTTCCTCCACTGAAGTCAGAAATCCCTCCCAAGTCATCCATGAGGATTGAAATCAGCTTCCAGATTCCTGTTAATGTTGATATTTTGACCTCCTCCCATGAATCATGTATGTTCTTCATGGCATCTAGAATGGTGA